CATCCACCGATGAATCTACCGTGGCCTTCAGAGAACGAGGAGGAGCCGAATCGAATTGGAGAGACATCGTCGTGAAGAGCCCAGATGACAGATGCAAGCGGCAGAGACGAATCGGTTGGAGAGGAATCGTCGAAGGAAGAGAGGAATCACCGAGGTATCCACCGAGCCTTTGACTCCAGAAAGACGAATCGGAGAAGCCATGCATGTGACGGAGCTTTGCCGGAGAGGAACAAATTTGTTCTTCATCGGAGGAGAACAATCATCGAAGGAGGAGGAATTGGTTTCGTCGAAGAATGAGAATGAGAAAGAAGGAAAATTTCATTCTTTCTTTTAAGCCAATGAAACCGTGCCACGTTGCAATAAGAAACGTTTTCCATTGACCCCAAATAAGAAACAGATTTTCCTTCTTTTCTGTGTTTTTGTTTTTTTTTTCAAAAATTACATAAGAAACGCGTGTAGTTACCGCGATATTGATGCTCTAAGGAGTCTTGTTGACTTGACCACTTTCACGGTGGTTTTGGAGATGAAAATTTTAACTCGTAGTTAACATACCTAGATTTTTTAACACTAATACAAATTATGATAACATATTAGAAGAATAATAAATTTATTATACTAATTAAAGGGTGATTTGCATCAATATTATGTTGGAGATAACAAATTAGGAGAATAGCATAAAAAGACGGTCAATTCACTAAATAGTACAAATCAACACAAAAAATAGGTGGAAAAGACTCTCAAGCCCTTTCTCCTTTCTCTAAAAAAATGTTTTTTCCTGACACGAAAAGGACGTCTCTTTTTTGTAAAGTTGAAGACGCTACCATCAACTTTAAAACGGTAGCATTGACTACTTTTAGGCATCGATTGAAGTGTATGCGATTATGATTAAAATATAATCCAAGAGAAAAAAACTAAAGAAAAAAGCTCGAGAATCGTCTATTACTGAGTTCAATATCCTTTACAATAGTCAATTATGGTTAAAACATAGTCAACTACATACTAAATTGAGAAACTGTAATATTTTTAAAAATATGTAGACATAATGTACTACAATAAGAGACATACATGTCTTACATAAATAGACGATTATTAAAAGTTGATTATGTACATGTTCTTTAGCTACTTCATAATTGGGATTGGGGAGACCAGCATTCATATCAGTAACCCGAACGATAAAAAAAATGGGAAGCATAAGCAAATACAAATATTAATTAGATAGATAATTATTAATAGATGGATACAAACCTGTTTTTTGTCTATCTCGGAATTTGGGGCTGAGATGTCAGCATTATCCTCAGTTGCCTGAACAGACACAATAAAATAGAAAACATAGTCGAGTACATATATCAACTACATAAACAACTATTAATAGCTAAATACGAACCTGTATTTTATCAATCTTGGAATTCGGATCTGGGATGTCTGCATTTTTTAGGGTGGGTCAAACAGTAACACAAGATAAGTAAAAATAATCGAGTATAAAATAGACGGCTACTAATAGGTGAATACGAACTTGATCTTTGGCGGGCTCGACATTGGGATCTGGGAGGTCTGAAATCTCCTCGGTTGCGCGAACATTAACACATCACCCATGAAATAAATTGGTTATATGGTAGATGTCTACTAGTAGATGGATATAAATCTTGAACTTTGCGGACTCCAAATTTGAATCTGGGAGGTTTGCAATATCCTCGGTAACCTGTAAAGTAATCCGACATGAATAAAAATATACGATTACAACATATTTGATTTTAATTATACGAATACGAACTTGATCAAAGGAGAAACCGCTATGTTAGTGTTTCTGAAGGAGGCTAGTGTGAACAGTAGACTAGGGTATTTTTGACTTTCTGAGTAGGGGTATATCTGAATGGTAATTCCAAGTAGTCAGTTACACAAAATACCGACTACAATTGAAAATTAAATTGAAACATAATCCATAGATAAATAGTTGACTACAAATTCAAAAACAAAATATTCATAATTAAATATTAGTTGACTGCAAAATATGTAAAATGTTCATAATTATAATGGAAAACATAGACATATACCCATATGTAGTCTACTAAAATTAGTGACAACAACTAAATTTAAAAGAACTGGTTTAGCATTTTTTTCCTGATAATTAAGGCCAATAACATTCCTTGCAGTAGCGTACTGAGTGAACAAGTAGCAATGCTCACAGCAGTTCAAGTGGTGTTTCCAACCGCATTTGGGTAAATCAGTCAAAATCTGTGGCATATACATAGATAAATAGTTGGTTACAAATTCAAAAACGAAATGTTCATAATTAAATAGTAGTTAACTGCAAATATATAAAAGGTTCATAATTATAATGGAAAATATAGACATCTACCCATAGGTAGTCTACTAAAACAAGAGACAACAACTAAATTTGAAAAAACTGGTTTAACATGCTTTTTCCTGATAACTAAGGTGCAATAACATTCCTCGCAGTAGCGTACTGAGTGAACAGGTAACAATGCTCACAACAGTTCAAGTGGTGTTTCCAACCGCATTTGGATAAATCAGTCAAAATATGTGGCATATATGCCCAGCCATCAATCACCATTAAGGTAATTGTATGCATGATCTCCCTAGCCTTAGATGAACAGCCAAAAGAAACAGCATCTGCCGCAGATTCTCTCCTCAGCCTTACAAAGACATCGAGCAATACATCCCAAATCTAGAGAAACACATTATTTGCTGAGATGCTGAGATATTCAGAAGTGGATATGTCTTTAGTTAGTGGAAGGTTGTCCATTCTGATAAATAAATATAAAGTAGACAATTATTAGTAAAAGGTTATCCATTATAATAAATAAATAGAAAGTAGATTACTATTAGTAGACAATAAATGACATATGATTTGCTTCTTGGTTTTGCTATTGTAGTTGATTAGCAATATTAACATAAAATGGACGGATATGACACTACTTTGTAATGGATGGATATGAAAAAAATGCATATTTGACACTACTATTTGATTGTAGTTGACCATAATATATTTGAAAGCGTAAATCTGAGAAAACATATTTGTACATCAGAACTAAGCGACTTGAACAAAGATAATGTAAAAAACTATTAATAGAATACTACTAACATCTAAATTGATCACAATATATTTAGAAGCAAATGATTCACCGAGACACAGAGAGGTTCAGTAGGGGATGCGTCTGTTGCCAGAGGAATGTTGGCCATTTAAAAACTGAACGAAAGGTAGACAATTATTAATAGACAAATAATTACACAGAAATCTGTTTTTAATGAATGCAAATCATTCAATCCAGAGATGTTCAGCAGTGTAAAAGTCGGAAATTATGAAATAAGTGTAGATTGGAAAGTAATATTGTAATAATTGTAGGTTTGAACTACAATATAGATCTAGTATTTTTCATTAATGCAAATAACTCCACCCAGAGTTTTTAGAAGAATGAAGTCTCCAGATATTAACAAGCTATGAGAAAAATCAAAACAAAAACAAAAAGTGTCAAACATACCTGGTGAAAATGAGGTTGCGGTGGAAACGAAAAACAGAGATAGAGTGATGACGGAAAAGGGAGAGAATTTAACGGTGGTGAAAAGACCAGAAACTGCAGCGAGGGATTTAGACTGGAGGATTTGAAAATGACGATCTTGGGAGAAAAAAAAGAGAAAGAAATATGAAATATTTGGTTTGAATTTGAAATATGAAGAAAGAAAAATTAAACAAAAAATAAATAAATTGTGTCAGACCAGAAAATTTTATATTGCTATGATGTAAACTTTATGTCATAAGATTGGGTAATTGGCGGTGTGTAGTGTATTTGCACAAAAGTAAAAAAAATGTTTTTTATTCTTGCAAATTGTTTTTTGCAGACTATTATTCATTATAATTTCTCTTAATTAAATTTAGACTAAATTTGTAAAATTAAAAAAAAAAAAAAACATGCAATTTTTTATCATACTTGAGTTGAGTTGAGTTTAAAAAGAAAAACCGAAGTGTATTTGAACTGAGTTATACCCAGATTATGTTGGGCTGGGCTAAATTATTTGAAAACGATTTTGATATAAAACCGGAGATCATATAATTGAATCAAACCAAATTTGATTATGCAAGATAAACATCACACATTCACACCACAAAAAAGTAGTGTTGATTTATGTATAAACACAACAACAACAAAAATGATAAAGAACCAAAAAGAACTGGTTTATGCATCCATGGACATAACAAAAAATATTAGTTAACGAACCAAAGATTCGAAAAGTCCGTGTTTAAAAGATAAATATTACGTTGGTTTATGCATATATATGCTCATAACCAAAAAAATTGACTTAGAGGTAGTCTGGTTCAATATCAGCTTAGATATCCAAGACTAGAATTTGGTCCAGTGGAGTATCTTAGAGGTAGACAAATTCATCCAAAAAAAAACTTTGTCTACCAAGATACAATTTCCTTTGCAAAAGACTAAGAACTACACAACTAACTACATAACTAACTACTAGATACAAAATTTGTTTATGAAAAAATCAGAACTTTTTTTAAAGTTTCCAACTTTCGATGTAATAGTTGGAATCTGCTAATAAAGATCTGGAAATTACACTAATGAAATAAAAACAAAATGTAAATGAGTAATATAAAAAGTGTAAGAGGAAAGGACGTAGAGGATCGAATATGGACGTGCACACGTGAGAGGCAAAAACTGTATTTTAGCCGCAAGAATCTCGTCTCCTGTTTTATTACAAGGTCAACTTCTGGTCTCTCTCCCTCTCTCTTTAACTTCTAAATCTACCTTATTAATTATAATAATCTACTTATTTAGTAGATTCTGATTTCAAATCTACACCAATAAATAATTCAACCAACGTAACTTCAAATTCAAATTAATAAAAAAAAAATTAAAAACCTCGGTTTTATGATCACACACCTCACATAGAAGCTTCTTTCTTCTTCTTCACTATATATCTTCTTAACTGTTTGTCAAACTCATCACTTGAATAAAAAGAAGAAAAAAAAAACAAAATCTCAAAATGGCGTCGATCACCTGTTCATCTGATCAACGTCTTTCAACAAGCAAAAGACGTTTAAAGCCGTTGATGTTAAGAGATTACTTACTTGATGATCTCAGCTCTTGTTCATCCAACGGCTTCAAATCATTCCCACGTCGTCAAACTCATCCTTCTTCTTCTTCATCATCATCCACCGTTCGTCGACTCCTTGACGCTGAGATCAAACGGTCAGGATTGATCCATCATCACAAACCACGTCTCACCAGAAGAACACGTACAACCTGCGGAACGGCTATTAGTCACGCCGTTCACAAAGCTTCCACGGCGTTTCTTAACGCCGTTAAATTGTTACCGTTTCCTTCCACCGTCATCTCACGGAAAGGAGGAGATGATCAGAAACAAGGCGTTTTCTCTAGAAGCTTCTCTAAACGGCTTTTAAGCAAAAGCTTCTGGAGAAAACCGGCGAGTCAATCTCGCCGTGAAGTAACTGTCGTTGAAGGAGACGGAGAGATCCAATGGTGGAGATCCGCCGCGTTTTTCCCGGACGAAGATTGTTCGTCCGATCTGATTTCTCAAATCTCAACCGTTGACAAAGCAACATTCTCAATCTCTCCAGCTGCTCCGATCACGACGGTTGAATTTATCTCCGGTGACTCGTCGAGTTCCGGTAGCGAGTTTTTCACGAACTCGTCGTCGTCGTCGTCGGAGATAGTACAGTCTTCTTCTTCATCGTTCTCATCGACGTCGAGCGGTGAATCTGAACAAGTGTCGTCGAACGAAAACGACGCCGTGGAAGACGGGATTGAGAGCGGAGAGAGATTAAACGCACATGACTGTGACGGATCATCTGTCAACCGCAACAGCCTGTGTAACAGAAAGGTTAGTTAGTTAAAAGATCGTTTTCTTTCTTCTTTCTTCAGTGTACAACTGTACAGTGTGAATGCATTTGAATTTGATTTTGGTTTAATTAAATTAAAAAAAATTAGAGAAAAGAGGTTGAAACTTGTCGGGGAACGCGTGCGAGTCACGTGTGGTGTAAGATTTAGATTTAGCGATGGAATCGAGGGCTGAGATTTCTTTCTTCCACGTAGCTTCTAATGCGGATTATACGGCACATGATCCCGCGAGAGTATTTTTTTATGTTTCATGGTACTTCACGTACACAATTATTTACACATTTCATGAAAAATTTATATTTCTTTAGTTAGATACGCATATCTTCACACATTTACAATACTGGTACTAGCTAGTAATACTATAAAATTCAAGAATTTAATTGCATAAACTAACTAACGAAATATTTGAAGACTTATACTTGGATTTGAATATATAATATACTTTTAGAATAATAATTGAATGGGGCAGAGACAGATAGGTAGAGATATGATGTTGTCGTGGGGTGGATTGACTTTTGTCAACTATCAATGTCACTATGATTTATACTCATATCATTATTTTTGTTTTTGTTGAGACTAGTTTTAGTTTAGTTATTCTTTTGTACTGTTGTGTGATTAGATGTGAATCCGGAATTGATTATGATTGCCATTTGTTAGGAATGTGTGAACGAAGAAAAGGAACAACTTAGTCCAGTATCAATCTTGGAGTGCCCTTTTGAAGACGATGAAGATGATGACGATGAAGAAGACAATGAAATCATTCCTATTTCACACCAAAATGGTAATTTTTTAAAACATTAATAGACTACATCCATCAACATTTAATAAGTTGATATACGTTACAAGAAAAATGTAATTTTGTATATCCAAACAACGTGAATTATAAGCCATCTCTTTTGCAGATACATATGAGAAAATTGCAAGAAAAAGTAGGAGATTAAATGGTTTGGTACGGATTGAGCCACTAGACTTGGAGAAACGCATAGAGAATTATGATGAAGAGAGACAAGAAGAGTACTCATATCACACGTTAGAAACCGAAGAGGATGAATCAGAAAACCGAGCAAACCGCTTGTTTGCTCTTGTGAAGTCAAGAATCGGCGAAACAAACAACATACTGGCTTCTAAAGTAGCTGATAATCTATTGTTAGATTATCTTCAAGAAGAAAATGTTGGATCAAAAGAGGAAGCATTAATGGTGAAGAAAGTAGAAGATTGGGTGATGGATAGACAAGACGAGATCTTTATGAGCTGGGAAGTGAGAGAGAAGAGAGAGGTTTATGTGAAAGAAATGAAATGGGGTTGCATTAATGGAGATGGGAGAGAAAATGTGGTTGAAGATTTGGCTAATGGTTTCTTCACTTCCTTGGTGGATGAATTTATCTTCGACTTAGCTTCTTAATGATATTTATAGTTTTTTTGTTTTGGTTGGGAGTTAAGATTTTGACATTGTGTTATAAAGGTTAGATTTCACGATGTATTAGATATATGTTATCTCGAATAAAACTTTATGTAGTTTGACATAAAAGGGGAATGATTCGTATTAAAATTATGTAGGCCATGTTCATTCCCCAATTTTTAGAGTCTAGATTAGAGTTAGAGTCCATAGTCATTAATCATGATGTATTGTTTTCTTCTTATATGAACTCTGGGTTAGTTTGTTTTTTAAATTCGAAATCAACTTCAAGAATCATTAAGACCATCCACAACGCAGTATCAACCGAGTTCATCAGCGGAGCTCAACGTAATGTTTTTGATTTGTTTTAATCATTTTGGCCCACATACTCGTTGATACAATCTCAAAGAGATGAGCCGGACGAACCTGTATCGTCGAGATTCAACAGTACGTGGCACGCGTATTGGCTGTTGGAGAGAGTTAATTTTTTATTATGGGAAGCAATTTTTCTGCTTTAGTTTTATCACCAAAAATATTATTAAAAAATTCTGATGAACTCCAAAATGAGTATCAGGGTTGTGGATGGTCTAATTTTGTACGTTAAAGAGTATGAGCAGTACATATACTCTTTGAATCATAGTGAGGACTATTCATTCAAGAAAACAAATCAAAAGTTCAGAGTCCTAACTCCTAGCTCATCATCCATTCAAAAAAACAACTAGAACATATTGTAAGTGTTTCATGATCATATGCCCATTTACTATTTAGTGATAATAAGCCCAATTTACTACGTAGTGATTATAAGCCCAATTTGCTACTCAGTGATATTACAAGAGCTTTGATGAAGAGAAGTATATGTATGTTACTATGTTTTGTGGAAGTGAGTCGAGTGATACCACACACACACATGCGACACTGTTCTCATTGATTCCAACAAAACAGTAGTCAGAATGTTATGATTTTGATTTGATGATTTTGATTTGATAAGCAGAGAAAATCACCTTCAATAACTAAACATGTTGCACGTCTACTAAAGTGCTTCTGGTCAGAGAAGTCAACGTCAATGTTGACTCTATAATTTAGCAAATATGGCATGATTTGAAATCATCCCGAATATTTTTTTGGCTTATTCCCGATGGTATTAAGATTAGATTTTCCACTATTGTACTTTTACTAGGGATTAGGTCTTTCATCCGCCTACGCGCGGATACGTGTTTATTAATTTTATACTTTAATTAAAATATTTTAAATTTATTAAAGTACAATATTAAAAGAGTTATATATTTTTATTTTTTTTACTTTACTATTTTAGTTTATGAAAAAAAATTCTCATAATAATTAAAATATAGTTTTTAAATTAGTTATTATTGAAACATATTTGAAAGTTTTGTGTCAACATTCCTATTTGTATAGAGATTGTAATTTTTTTAATCGGGTAATCTGCTTTGCTATTTTCAGTCACTGCAGCTGCATAGTTTGTTTATAAATGATAGAAGACCGTCTTAGAATTGTCACACACTTGGCTCAGTGGAGGTTGTTAGACCTTGGATCCAGATCGGTTCGGTGAAAGAGATGCTAAGGCGTGAGCGAGAGCTCGAAAATCCTTAGGCCCAAATCCAAAGAAGAGGTTGGAAACGAGGGGATGGACAAAGTTGATTAAAGAATTGCGATACCAGATGTTAGGGTGTGAGATAAGTCCCGAAATTCCCTAAGCCCCAAATACGACTACAACTCTCTCTCTCACTTTGGAATCGAAGGCTGCGTCAAGCAGGGTGAAACTACTTGATATACCGAAAATCGATCAATGACTCACCACCAAAACGGTCATGACTTTGTGAACGGGTGTTAGGTCGTCAGCTCGGCCTTGGCTTCTTAGCTCGGTGAGAACTTGTTGGATTGCTCCCGTAAGCTTCTTGGTACGCGACCTGGTCATCGGTCCAGTTGGTATGGTCAGGACGTCGTTCAGGTCGGCTCCTTGTTCTTGTGCCCCGTCTTGAACCTCGACTTCGCTTAGGTCGGCCATTTGGTCCTACGTTCCGGTCTGAACCGCGGTTCGCACCTCGTCCCTTGTTCCCTCCGGTTCCATGATTCTATCATCCCCCCCCCTCTCGAAAAGGACTTGTCCTCAAGTCAGCTTCATCTGCGTGAAATGGAATGATATCACCAATGTTGAAACTTGAACTGACTGAGTACTTACCTCGGAGATCGATCTTGTAAGAATTGTCGTTGATCCGCTCTAGGATAGTGAATGGTCCGTCCACTCTCGGCTTCAAGTTAGACTTCCTTTCTTCCGGAAACCTCTCTTTCCTTAGGTAGATCCACACTTAGTCTCTGGGCTCGAACATCTTTTTGGTCTTTCCTTTGTTGGCGTACTTCTGGAATTGCTCTGTTTTTCTTTCGATGTTTTGCCTTGCTTTTTCGTGCATCTTCTTCACCAGATCGACTTTCTTTTTCCCATCCATGTTTTCACGCTCATTCATTGGTAAAGGGGTTAGATCCAAAGGTGTAAGAGGATTAAAACCATAAACTAACTGAAATGGTGAAAATAAAGTGGTAGAATGAACAGCTCGGTTATAAGCGAACTCAACGTGAGGTAAACACCAATGCCACTACTACAGATCCAAAGCAGAGGATCGAACCAAGTGAGGTATATCGTATACACACTGAACCAAGCAATTCAAAATGAGTAAAAATGGTAATTTGCTATGCGAATTAAGTTCATAAATACATTTGTTGCTCTCTGCAAAATGCCAGAATAATACCGTAGGAGTATCTCTTGATGGTCAAGCTGAACCTCACATAGCTGAAAAGAAATCAGAAACATGCTAAGGTTATATGAAACAGTAACACGACCAGCTCGAGGTGTTAACATCTGCACTGAAGTATAGAGCTCCTTCCATATGTTATAGTGTATTTGAAAGTTAAAATGAAAATATCATGAGTGCAAAAATACTTACATTAACCTTCATATAGAAATTGTACACTCGTTAGGTTTAAAATACATGACTTTTAGCAATGCTGTTCACCTGTATCAAGGATATGAACATCGGACATATTATAGTCATGTCCATCTTCACCACCTATAACAACAAATTCTTCTTCCACAATGAGCAGGTATGGCTATTTCTCGGAAATGGAGGATTGATGCCTGAATTGATAGTCTCCATTAAGATGAAGACGGAATGGGTTGGCAGTTTAATTCGAAAATTTGAAAGGTGAATCGAGAGAGAAAGAAGAAGATGATGGGGGAAACGGCAAGGAATCGTGAGGAAGATGAGGCGTCTTTGTGTTTCGTCAAATTTTAGAGACCGGAAATTCTTAGGGTACTGGGCTTTCGTGAGAAATTTTGGGTCTTTTGGAAAATTAGAAAATTTGAGGTATATTTGGGCTTGTTGGCTCTTTTAACAATCCGATGATGATGTGGAAAAAAAGGTGTTACGTGACAGGCCGTGAAGATTTCTCCAAAAGCTGATGTGGACACCTCTAAGAGCTTCAAACTGCTACTTTTTTTTATTAGAGTAGATTTTATTTTTATTTTAAAGAAGCATACAATTTCATGGAAAAAAAGGGCATCTTAAAAAGAGCATCTTTTTCTTCTACTCTTTTTAAAGTTTTCATTATTATTTTTTAATGTTTTTTTTTTGAAGAAAGCCACAATAAACCCTAAATCAAATTTCCCCCTTTGAGCAGCTGCCTCTTCTTCATTTTTTGTTTTCCGATTCCCCTTCCGCCGAGTAAAAGCCGCGACTGAATCATGAGGGGATTAAAACGCGCCGCCGTTTCCGAAGATAATGAATCTTCCGTGAGTTTTTTTTTGCGTGTTTCTATTGTGTGCGTGATTTTTAACGTACTTGGTTTAGATCACGGTTTTGTCGATTGAATCTCGTCGAGGATTACGAATTGAGTGGATTCTCTGTTTCGTGGGTATCTAAAAAAAATTGGCACTTTTGATATTTCTTTGGTGGGTAATTGATAATTAGTGACGTTCTAGCTATAGTATCATTGGATTTTGAAAAAAGTCGGGATTTTTTTGATGGGCATTGTATTTTGTTCAAGCAGTAGCTTTAGTATTTTTAAATGTTGAGTGTTTAAGTTTTCATGAATTGAATTTGTGGCCTCATATTCGTTGTCAAATCTACTGGAGCTGCTTTTGTGTTGCTTTGCTTGGAGTTAATTTTGAAAGGGAATTTGCAGTTCAAGAATGCAAAACCAGTGGAAGGAAACTTATTTGGTACCCTCAATGTGGCACCGATGCAGCAGAGTCCATTAACGTCGGTATCATTGGATAAACAGAGGGCTGAGTTAGCAAGGAAGCATGTGAGAGCTCTTAATAACCAATTTGTAAGGTGAATAGTTGTTTTCTGTACTTGCTAAGCCTTCTGTATAGTTTATGATTCAATAAAGAGATTGCTTATGCTTCAATGTAAAAAACAGTTGGGTGCAAATACAGCTGAAGAATCATCCTGATGAACTCTGGGAAGATGGGATGAATAACTACATTAACCATGCTTCAAACATTATGGTAAATTCTCAAAATGAAAAATTATCTTCGGTTAGGATGGTTTTGTCCATTGATCGACTCATCAAAAATGCTAATTTTCTGTTATGTCTTCAGTATGGATGTCCATCTATATTGAAAAGATAAAGTAGCTAGCTCCTAGAATCTCTTGCTTCTTTTGTGATAAACACTTTCTTTAGTTCACTAGCTCATCAGCTTTCTACTTCATGTCGGTTCACGTGCAGGAAAAGTTTAGGGATGTGGTCAACTGGTTAAAAGAAAATAAGGGAAAGGGAGAGAATGTATCCCCTGAATCTCGTGGAGCAGAGAAGAAGTTAGTGGCTGAAGTCAAGAATAGCGACGTTAAACCAGTTTCAAATAACAGCCTGTTTGGCTCAAACAATCAACCTGGGCTCTTCTCAAACAATCAATCTTCCAATTTTTCCAGTAGTCAGTCTGGTTCGTTTTCAAGCCAGCCTGGAGTATTATCCAGCAGTCCATTTGGTTTAACATCCAATAGCCAAACTGGATCTTTTAGCAGTGGCCAGTTTGGTTTGACCAAAAGCAGCCAACCCAGCCTATTTTCCAGCAGTCAAGCAGGAGGAATCTCTAATAGCCAAACTTCTTTCTCACTTTCTAATAATCAGAACCCTTTTTCATCTGGAGGTATCTACTTTACCATTAGCAGAATGCAATTATTGGAGTTGTCAATGATCAGCTTTGCATTTTTAGACAAAAGTATATTTGAGACCTAACCTCTACTCTCCTTGTTTGCTGATAATAGTAACTCCAGTGTCCATACCGGCAAAGCGGGATTCCCCAGATGATGCAGACGGAGGTGAGTTGATCAGTAGTCTGGTTTCTTCCTGTTTTGTTGCCCTTCTACTTTGAAAGTTTTGTTAGGAATTACCACTGCCAATTATTTAAGCCATTTTGTGCAAAGTTCTAAATCGGATTCTTTTGACTCTGCAGAAGATGAACAACCTCAACCAAGCAGTCCATCCGTCAAAAAGACCGAAGAGAAGGGTGTTACTGTGGTTCATGAAGTCAAATGCAAGCTTTATGTCAAGGTATATGTTATCTGTAAACTTTGATGTCACCTTTCTTCCGGATCTGCAATATTCCTCCCGTTTTTCTGAAGTATCAGCACTCGCTATATCCTCCAAATACTTTTTCTCTTGTTCATAAATATAACTTTAGTGATCTAATATGAATAACCACGACAAGGATATAGAGCATCACGTATGAAACCATTAGAATTGTTAGAGATGAAAATGTTTTTTTTAATCAATCTTCATCCTCAAAGTCATCTTAGGTATCATAGTGATAGTAAAAGAGTGTCTTCTCTCTCTACCTTAGTTACGTTGATATTCTGTTCTTGCTGATGACCGTAGTAACTTGTTGTAACCTTTGTATCAATGTTATTATGCAGTCAAATGATCCATCAGATAAAGGTACATGGAAAGATAAAGGAACTGGGAATCTTTCCATAAAATGCAAAGAAGGTGTCGACAAGGGAACAAAAGAATCAAAACCCACAATTCTTGTCCGAAACGATGTATGATTTCATTACACACTCACTTCACATCCAACTTGGTCAACAGATTCCCAACATTATAAACCATATTTCTTGCCAGGTCGGGAAACTGCTTCTGAATGCTCTACTGTACGCTGGAATTAAGACGAGCGCACAGAAGAACGCACTTGTTGCAATATTCCACTCTTCGGTAAGTAAAAACATATGAAGCTTTTTCTTTTTTCATGGTGGTTTGTAGTCTCTCTGATTTAATCTACATGCAACAGGAGGATTCCAACGAGAATGTAACTCCTAGAACCTTTCTGATAAGGACAAAGACGGCAGAGGCAAGAGATAAGTTAGCAACAGCCATCCAAGAATACGCACCTTCTTCATAAAATGCCCAAACCCAGCTGAGATCTTTACTGTACCATCTTTATAATCTTTAATTGAGCCATCCTCTCTATTTTTTGTTCCCTTGATTTGTAATATTAGGAAGGCTCTTAAGATTAATATAAGGCTTGATTAAGGGCATGAAACTGTTGTATGATTGAGTGAATGTGAGAGAAAGAAGGCCAAAGTTACTTTGTAGCTTATTAGAGAATGTTTTGCCATGTAACTTAAAAACCGAAAACAATAAAATCATTTCTTTTTCTATATATTCATCTGATTATAGTATACTATGATTAATACAACTGTACAGAATACTGGAATTTAGAACCTATCAAAAGGCATGTATTTTTCTTCAATCTTCCTTCATCTCAAACAAGAAGCAGAGAGGCTACATACGTTACATCCTAAATTTATACAAATGAGGGAAACAATAAAGGATCAGTGAAGAACTGATTCATATCTAACATTCTCCGTTTTGTTTCTGTGATCTATGAATAACGAAATAGTCCACTACTTTTACGGTAGTAACAGGGTCTTGTTGCGCTGTTGATGCACTCCATTTACTTGGAAACTTTCTCTTATAGCTCATCACCCCACTCTGCTTCGGCTCTGAATCCCAATCTTTGTCCAGATTCCAGTCTTTTGGCACCTAAACTCATATCACATACACACCTCTCGTTAAAGTTTTCTTAAACATGCATTTAACAACTAAGAAATCAACAAAACCAGTGACAGGGCCATATCTTTTGTAGCATCAGCATTATCAGTTTTGTGTTGTGACTAGAGTTTTCTCTTCTTCTTTTTTTTACCTTATCAACCGCGAGAGTGAATACTTCGATGTCTTTATTCTCTTTGATGTGGAAACGGGTGAAAGATTTGTAATTGGCAATGCGGAGTGAAGAAAAAGCTTCATCAAAGTGAATGTGGAGCCAGTTGATGCAGATATACAAGTAGCTTCCAAATACCATGGACACCACAGGAGTTGAGAAGACCCAGAAGTAAAGGAAGACAGAAGCATAATATATAACAGCTCCGCTTCTGGAGAGCGATTCCATGCCTTCTTTGCAAATGTTGGTCCGGGTAACCGCCATCACCTGATGTTAAAGCACACTCAGGTTTGGTTTGCAACTTCGATTTATCGAAAAAGACACAAAACACAGTGACAGTAATTACCTCGGGAACATCAAATGCTGACATAAGATACTTGATGCACGCGGGATAAAGACCAAACGTCCATTGCTCGATACGGGCTCGAAGGCCAGTAGGGTCGGGGAAATGCTCGCTTTCCACTGATTTGTACCACTGATACAATGAATGATACCCTGTGCGAACAAAAGTGTCAAGATTCAGTAAGTCACAAAATCAAATCAAGGCTAAAACACAGAAACTTTCACTGAGTCACGTATTATCCGTTGGCGTCAATGATGAGTCATGATACATGCTCAGTGTGCAATTAAAGGTTGCACCTTTGGCATGAAATCCAAACAACTATATATGGAATGGACACTGACCAGAATTTGCTAAGAGATTATGCTGAATACAGATTTCTATGCCCAGTTCCAACATCAACATGAGAATCAGAGCTGCCATCAGGTGAGCAGCAACATGAAGAACTCCTATTAACACCCTTTTCTTCCGAGATATTTTTGAGGGGACAAATATGATTGCAGTGATCAGCAACATCAGGACACCCGTAAAAGACACATAAGATTGTTCCATCACATACACAAAGGCGTTCCAAACTGTTCCTAAGAAACTCTCCAGGTGACCAGAAAACGAATCACCTCGTAAGATGTGGGCTAGCTTACACTGAAACCAATGAGGAACAAGCAGGAATGAGATACAGATTTTCTTGTGAGCAGTAAGCCTATAAGATAGTTCCGTATATGCAAACCTCGGATAAAAAAACCAGCTACATAATATAAACACCAGCTAAGCTTCCCTATCTATAAAATGGATGTTGTAAACTGTTTAAATAGGACAAGCTAGCTTAAAACGCACCTGCGGGAACAATGAAAAGACCAAGATAAAGTATATAATGCCACCAATGAAATCAAACTGCCAGTTCTTTTTCCGGAACTTCAGAATATTTCCTAAAGCAATCTGCAGACAACAGAAAACACCATATAACATCGGAATGCAAAGAAAGGAAGGCAAGTTAGCGATAAGAGACTGGAGAAAGAAATGTTTACCTTGCTTGAATCATCAAAAGAAGGGTAGGCAACTTTGCTTCCATAGGAAGCTCCATAGAATTTCGAAAATTTGCTGAACACATGGGTGGGATGCAGAAAAGCTCCTCCACATCCATTAACAAGAAGATGTTGGACATGGGCAGGTCCATCTGATTGAGTACATGAATGTCGCATATAATGATGCAAGTCCCCTGCCATTCTAAGTTTACATCTGTATTTCAAAACGTCACAAATGAGATGCCTCACGTTCTTCCCTGTATCGCTACTCCAGTACCAATCAAGAAGCCAGCTTGGTTCATGCGTGATAATGATCACTGCATCATCTTCCTTAACCTAAATGAGAAAAATATTATTTTACTTGAGCACTAAAATGTAACTTGAGTAATTTGAAAAAACGCAGAAAACAAGAGCATAGCCTAAACCACTTTTTAGGAGTACTTCAGATATTAAAGACACCGCAAATTTACTCCAGAGTAATATACTCTACGCTAAGTCGTTAACAAATGGTAGAACTCTGAGTACGTGATAAAACTTATTACATAGTGTCATCTCTAAACCGCGAAAAAATGATAAACAAATTACCTTCTCCTTCACCAATTCAGAAAAGAATTTGAACTGGTCGACATCAATATCACCATGAAGTGCAAGATCCAAACCAAACACCCACCATCCCTTAGGTAACTGCAGGGCAAAATAACTTTTCTTCTGGGGCATAAACCAGCCGCCTAACCAACTCTTATGGCATATATACCTCATGAAAGTATTGAGTCCGTCGAACCAGTCTACGAAATAATAAACAATAATTCTATCGTCAGAGGAAATGGCAGAAGAAACCAAAGTAAGCATGTGAAACAAAGTATTTCAAAGGTAAAAATGAAGGTGAGACCTAACACTCACCATGGTTTCCAGGGATGAGAAAACATTGAGGACCATCATAGTCCTTTAGATCTTTCACTCCCTCGGGTAATTCAGGCTTGTCAACAGCAATAGAGTCATTTTTATACCAATGGGGAGGCTGGAGCGCATACTCAAAAGGACAAAAGAGACGTTTCTCATATGTAAACGCTGATGGATTGGGGTAGCTGGGACATATCGTTGAAAGACATCCCCGGTTACATTTGGAACTGCCAAAATCTAGAAAATATGTATAAAACTACAGATAACACTTACGCAAGATCTCCTCCGATAAGCAGTACATTACCCCGTGGTAAAGGCCGAGCTTTACCATCCACCAAGACTTCAAGACTAGGCTGAGCAAGAAGTTTCGCAACAGCATATGATGAATTCCCACCATCACCAGTATCCGCCATGAAATCAAACCAAAATTTGTCCTTATTAGCAAGGTGATCATATAAAAGTTCTTCCCTCTTGGTTCCATCACAAGATGTGGTCATCGCAGCCTAAAGATTTTTTCAAAAAGGAAAGAAGCAAAAACATTAAAATGCAACTATCATAAATGTCTAGCCGCAGAAAGAGGAATGACCTGATCATGTCATCATATCTAAACTAAACAAGTATACCTGCAGCATCCGCATGTCAAAGCGGCCAACAAATACCGTCACTGATACGAGGAGGTCAAATACGGTTTTAAACAAATCAGCCGATGTTCTGAAATAGATAATTAGAGAAGTCAGCAGCTGATCAAGTGTCATGCTTTCATTGTGTACTCGCCTCAATAAAAACAACTGTAAGCAGAGAAGGGAAAAATTGGTTTGGCATTACGTACCCTGAATACCAAGGAACCATATCTAAAAAATTTGGTTTCATTTGCTCCTTCTTCAGCTTCTCATATTTGTCGACTGACAGAGGGTGTGTCAGAGCCCACCTAAACAGATTAACAAAAGTTTTAGATTAAACATTCCAATTGAGTGTAGAACCAAAGTTGTTCATGAAAGATGCAACTTACCCTGTTGATCTCTCCACTACATAATTAGCAATGTAAAGACCAATAAATGTGGCCCACAACGAGTATATGGGAGAAATTTCGTTAGATGAATCAGGACACGACCCATTGCAGGCAATCTGAAATTAACAAGGTAGGAAAAGGATAACAATCAAAGGGTGAACAATTAAATATATTCACAGCTCACTAGAACAGTTTAAAGAAGAGATACCTCTCCGTAGATAAACCATTTGGATAACAGTGGATAATCACTTGCAGATCCAACTGGAGCAAACCACGACGAGCACACTTGGTCTTTCAGCTCATTCATACGAATGAATTTTGCAAGCCAGGTATTGTGCCTATGTTCTCTTTTCCAGAACGAAAACCAGCTAGAATGCTGTCTTCCAAGAGGTTTTTGCCTCAGAATAGCTCGATTACCACAATGACTGTAAAAGATACAGCACGCCATGCTAAGAACCTGCACGGATGAGAGACATGAAGACAATATTTTAAGCAGATAAGAGGCTTTAATGTGAAAGACTGACGATGGTGAACTTACAGCACAGTTTTGAAGAATGGTTAAGATCTCTGGGCGTCTTCCAGCCACGCGAGAAACAAGACCAACATACCAAAGGCCAAGAAAAATGATGTGGAAAACAACAAGGAAGACAATGGATGATATGTAAATTGTCAAAAACAAGGACAAATTCATCCTCAAATCCAAACCCATTGACTGAAAATTAGGAAGATGATACAAAGCTGCAACTAAAATCCAGGCAATGTACCTGCCCTCAGACAAAAAATAAACAAAGAGCTAAGAACCTTTAAGAGATAATATTGATAAATATTTTTGGAAGGTACAGTGAACAGTTGCTTACCACCGACTGAAGTTTGAATAATTTGGTCTGATAGTCTTCCCAATAAATGGCGAAGAAAAGAAGTAGAAAAATCCGAGCAAGCATGCATACATGGACCACCACTTGACAGAGAACTTTTCTATGAGGGTGTGCATGTTATCGGACGAGATAAAGAATAGGCAACCGAAAAACACAGCAATGATAGCATGACGTGAATGCTCATGCGGATAAGGGTAAGTATGTGTTAGAATCGTTCTGACCCTCTCCATTTTGAGGGTATTTAATAAACGAGCAGAATGCTTGTCAGAGCCCATCGCATGTGGTTCCTATAAGTTTCCCTTTGCACTTGAATTTCTTGATGACAGTTCAACTCTTGACAGAGCCAAGAATGGTTAATGACAAAACCTTGTGCCTAATGAAACAAGCAAAACAGAAAGGCAAATTATATATTCAGCACAGTATGATCCACTAATGTAACAGTATCCATGAACTATGTTGATGCATCGTATGTGGAGAAATCAGCCAGAAGTTATAAAACTTCCAACTCCGAAACCCAATAACATCCTGAATTGCACAAGTGCCAAATAATACAACAAATGATAAATGACATCAAATTTCACTTCGAGGAGAAGCTGAACTGTTATGTGATACTAAGGAACCCTTGGATCCCCTAAATTCCAAAAAATCGTCACTGATATACAGTGATACTAGAACAAGTACGAGCCTTTGTAAACCACCCATCAAATAGAAACATACTAAGCAAACATCAAAAAGCAATTCAAAATCGTAAGCAAAAAAAAAGAACTCAATTTTCGTCGTAATTATTGTATGCCAGAGTAGATCATCAACACAAAAACACCTGAAGTTCCTTCATTTTATCTTATAGTACGTCGCAACTCAATTATATCATTAAAAGAAAAACACTTTCAGCTAAGAACATGAACCGAATAAGCAACTACTTGGCCCTTCCCCAAGTTCAAAATAGGCAACCCTGTGACTCTTTAAGTTAACACAATCCAGAAATGGGAACAAAAAAACATTAAACATCAGATGATCTTTAAACTCTGACCCATCGACAGAGAAACATTCGCAATAAATTGGAATTTGAAAGCAATCATGAACTGAGGTAACAAAGAAGCCTAAAAGACTTCTTTTTTATAAGCTATAATTCGAGAGAGACCATACCTGTAGAAGTGGAGAAAATTTGGGACCGAAACAGCAACGAATCAAAGGTGAATCTCGGTCTTAGAAAACCCTTTTCGAGCAGAATCAAATAAGCGAATATCTCCGATTGATTCAGTCAAAATCAATGTGGTGGTGCTTAGAGCTTACCCCCAAATACACAATAACCCTAATTTCTTTTAAAAAAAATGAATTTTACAATCAATGATCTGATGAGTCAAGCGTAGAACGAATCACGTGGCTATGGTTTTATAGTGCGTTCGTTGAAAAAGCAGAAATTTTTGTTTTTGTTTTCTTTTATTTCCTTTTCTGAGAGAGAAGAGGAAATATGAAAGAGGCGGTTACCAAATGATAGCCATTTTCGTCCGAGCTTTTTTTTTTATAAAAATAATACAATTAAATTAAAAAATTAGAGAGGATTGGAGGGAATCAACGAATAATTCCATTTCTTGCTACCTTCAAATGTCCGAATCTTTTCTGAGAAATTTCATTACAAACAATTTGCGTGTACATTTATTAGAACTTGTAATCGAAGTAATGTACTAATATTTTTTTAACAAAAAAATATTAAAAAAAACTGAATTAGTTTATTGAAGCAGATTATTTGAGTATTATTCTTAATGGATTTAAGGAAAATTTGATTATATAAAGTAAGAAATCTAAATTGATTGGTTAAGAATAAGATAGACAAAAAAATTAAAAAGAAAGCAAAGTTAGAAACAAAAAAAAAATGATGCATTGGGGAATTGAGAAAACAATTTTGGAATTTAAAAATGGTTTATGGACTCTTTATACTAGCTAATAGGTTTAACTGTAAATGCAAAACAGAAACACAAAAATACGTGAATATATTAGAAAGAAATGTAAAAACGGAACTCGTAATAAGTGAGTGCAGAGATAAACGTGTTAGGTGAAGAAATGCAAAATTTGATGGACTCAAACAAAACACATGCAATGTCTTTCGGGGCACATTAATTAAGCTCACCCCAACCACATAGAATTTTATTTGGATTTGGACTATTTCTCTCCTTTTTTTCAAATGTTAACATTGTTTTATGGTAAACGTCTACGTGCGACGATCCATGTGAATGTGATTGTGGACCAAAGAAGATAATGACAAACTTTTGTCTATGTACAACGATCCATGTGATTTGAAACTCGCAAATAGGATCTTTGGAAGAAAGATCCTTAGAAGCATGTTCAGAACAACTAACCCTCCTTAGAGCAACTAATCCGTGCTTATTCAGCTTGAACATATGTACGAATATTCACATCTTGTATAAAATTTATGTCTTGAAACAAAATTTTGTTTTCTTCTTTAAATATTTTCAAAACATAATTCTTACTTTGAATATCTAAATGGTGCTGTCTTTGGGAGCTGATCTTCTTTAGTTGCTCCACAAGTTGTCTATTTCCTTCTTCTAAAGTGTTGATAACAAGTGATTTTTTATCATCACTTTTTATTTTCAGCTTAGCTTTTCTCACTCCAATCAGTCGTTTAGATGCAGACCCACCAATAATGTCTTCTTCATCATCTAAATTCAAAGAAAATGAAGGCAAACCTGAAGATGCTTGTGTACCAAAGTCTGGGGTTGGATTTTCCGACTCCGAAGATGCATACCCAAAACCACATGGATTTGGTACGTTTCTAGCTGGAGTTTCACCATCTTTAAACTTCTCAAAATTCTTAATAATGCTCCACACATGATCAAATTTCCAACCTGCTTTGTATTTTGGATCTTCCTTTAACATTATTTTGGCTTGATTAAACTACACATAATTAAATAATTTATTAAAACTAATGTAAATGAATTAAGAAATCATATATTAATTATCACAAAAAATACTCACAGTGTCATCATTTGAGGCACCACTTGAACGTCGATTTTCACATTATCTGATGCATGCATGTAATTTTTTTGTTGCTTTTTCAATAACTTGAATTCGACATTGGATGGATTTCTTTGACCGTTCACTCCAAGATGCATCTTTTCCATTCTCGTAGCCTTCTACCACACGAGACCAAAAATGATCGGATGACTGATAAACACTCGTGATAGGATTTTGAGAAATTTCCATATAAATTTGACATAAAAATTTATCTTCTTCTTGAGTATATCCACAAGAACGTAAATGCATTTTTGTAAATAAAAGTGAGAAATGATATAGATGAATATGAAAATTATAGATTGTGGAATGTTGTGAATGAAAATAAAAACTCATGATCTTATTTATAGATGTTAGTAAAAATTGTCATATTTTTAAATTTTTTAAAAATGATCTGACAATATAATTGTAAAGTGTTTTAAAGATTCTCACGTTTCCTAACTTGAATTGACAATACAAGTGCAAAGTTAGTCAAAGAATCTTTTTTTTCTCAATTTATTATGACAGAAATGACAATACAATAGCATGGTTTGTTCTTATTTACATTATGTATTGACAATACAATAGCATGGTTTGTTTTTATTTACATTATGTATTGTAATTTTCTTTATGTAATAAAATTTTTAATTATATAAAATTTATAATTTGGTTGAATAATTATGTTACGTAAATAAATAGGTGAAAATTTATAAAATTGAAAAGTATAGGATTTTGTTAGCAATTAATAAAAAAATAGAGATAAAATATGTTTGGAATATTCTTTTTAAAGAAAAAAATGAAGAAAATTTGTTCCAATGGTTTCTTCATTTTTTCCTTCAAAAATAAAGAAACTTCATATTTGAAGGAAAAAATGAAGAAACCATTGGAGATGCTCTTAGAAGGTGGAGTAATATAGAATTGTAGATGAACAAAAACTTTTGAGACTAGTTAGTGAATCATAGATACTATTTTCTTCTATGCCATATTTGCTAATTAACCTCTAACATATATTCATTATATGGATGTTTCACTTCTAACACAGTAAATATTACCAATGGTTACTATTGTGTTCGACAATAATCAAATCATAATTCCCATCTCATTGATTCATAAAAGCTATAGTTAGCAGTTGATTTATATTGAAAATGACCTAATTCTTTTTGAAAGTTATCATATATATATATATATATATACAAATAATTCCAATTGGATACCAAAATGTAGGTAAAAAAGGTGTAACCTATCTCATTGAGCATATAAAGTACGGTCAACATTTAATTTGATTTATATTGAAAATGACATATTTTATAAAAAAAATTATTAAAAAGACAAACAGTAACAACTGGATATACCAAAACCTAGAAGGGAAAGAAAAAACAGTTATGGAATAACCAGAAGGGTACAATCTCCTATAAAGTATTTTTCCAAATTTCCTCTATATATAATTTGTGACTTATCTATGCTTTCTTACAAGGAAAATATAAAAGAGGGAAAAATATTTCAACTAAAAACTTTTTTTCCCCCATTTTAAAGAGGAAAGAAAAATAATATAAAAGAAAACGAATACCGACCAAAACATGAACCTCCTATCCGAGATTCCGAATCTATCTCTCTGTTATATAAATACCCAAAGCATATCAGAGATTCAGAGCCACTATCTAATTTTCCTCCGATTTTTTTTTTTATCTTTTTCTTTTTCATCTCATTTCTTTTTTTTCTTCTCCTTCCTAAATCCCATTTGAGTTAAGAAAAGTCCCGAAATTTCAGCGTTATTTAGGATTCAGCAACAGATAAAATCTGGAAATTTTGTTTTTCTCTCTATCTAGGCTTTGCGTATTCAACTTTTGAGGTACATTACTGTCTTGTTTTTTATTTTCTTATCTTAGACAAAAAGAGGAGTTTCCAGTGATTTTTTGAAGATTGTAATTTCGGAACTCGAATTCTTTGATGATTTGTTAAATTATTTTAGTTCCTGAATTTCAAGGTGATAATTTTTATTATTTTTTTCCCGTTTGTTTGGCGGAAAAAACGAGGGAAAGTTCATCGGTCATCAAGCGTTTTAATTTTTATTTTTGGATTCTTTTAATTTTTTTTGGAATCTGTTGGCTGAGAAAACTCTGGAAAATGCCAAGGAAAAAATGAATAAAATGCCAAGTAAATTGTTTTTAAAAGAGTCATTAGTTCACGTGTATGTATCTGATGATGTTGGAATTTATAATAATCATATAGCCGTTTCTTAAATGTTTATTAATTCCTCTGTCTTTCTCAGAATCTAAATTCACCGAACATAAGGATAAGAACGAGGACGATAAGAGGTAAGTACATTATGATTTTATTTATCATCACAACACTTTTTTGTCGTTAATTAATTTTTTTTTGGAATCTGTTGGCTGAGAAAACTCTGGAAAATGCCAAGGAAAAAATGAATAAAATGCCAAGTAAATTGTTTTTAAAAGAGTCATTAGTTCACGTGTATGTATCTGATGATGTTGGAATTTATAATAATCATATAGCCGTTTCTTAAATGTTTATTAATTCCTCTGTCTTTCTCAGAATCTAAATTCACCGAACATAAGGATAAGAACGAGGACGATAAGAGGTAAGTACATTATGATTTTATTTATCATCACAACACTTTTTTGTCGTTAATTAATTTTTTTTTGGAATCTGTTGGCTGAGAAAACTCTGGAAAATGCCAAGGAAAAAATGAATAAAATGCCAAGTAAATTGTTTTTAAAAGAGTCATTAGTTCACGTGTATGTATCTGATGATGTTGGAATTTATAATAATCATATAGCCGTTTCTTAAATGTTTATTAATTCCTCTGTCTTTCTCAGAATCTAAATTCACCGAACATAAGGATAAGAACGAGGACGATAAGAGGTAAGTACATTATTATTTTATTTATCATCACAACACTTTTTTGTCGTTAATTACAACACTTACATAATTAATCTTCTCAATATAGTAAATTTTTTAATTTTTTGCCTAATTTTCGCTTATTTCTCTGAATTAAATTTGACTCTAGTAGAATTTGAATTATAAAAGCAACCTAGTTGACCAAATAAACAATCAAGTTAATTAATAACGTTTGACTGAAATTTTTAAGTATACACATAAAATGGCTTTGTAGTGTATATATACTTGTAAAACTAGTTTTGTCTCATGTAATTAATCTTTGTTTCTGATTCTTGTTTTGTTGAAGAAAATGGTCGCCTTTGGAAAAAAGCTCAAGGAACGTAGCATTGAAGAATGGCAAGAGTATGTTTCTATATTCAAGATTTGGTTGATTTTGAAGTTTACGGCAATGTGATTTCATGTTTTAGTACTGTTTCTTTTGTTCGATTCCTCTGTAGATATTACATCAATTACAAATTGATGAAGAAGAAAGTGAAGCAATATGGTCGACAAATCGAAGTAGGAAGTCTAGATCGTCGTCATCTTCTTAAAGATTTCTCAAGGATGTTAGATCATCAGGTTTTTCCTTTTCCTTCAGAAAATTTCTCGTGTACGTATCAAACTCTTGTTAAAACCCGTTTTCGGTTGCATGCAGATCGAGAAAATAACTCTTTTTATGTTGGAGCAACAAGGTTTGCTTTCAAGTAGGTTACAGAAACTAAGAGAATGTCATGATGCACTTCAAGATGAGCCTGACATATCTCAGATACATAATCTAAGAGAGGCTTATAGATCTGTGGGACAAGATCTTCTCAAGCTTCTGTTTTTCATCGATATGAATGCTATTGGTATCCGTAAGATACTGAAGAAATTCGATAAAAGATTCGGTTATAGATTCACAAACTATTATGTCAAGACTCGCGCTGATCATCCTTACTCTCAACTCCAGCAAGTGTTTAGACATGTGGTAAGATTATTTGAAATCTCAAGCAGTCTAATCTACCACTATAGTTGAAGCTTAATGTTTCAAACTGTTATAGGGTCTTGGAGCTGTTGTTGGAGCCATATCGCGTAATCTTCACGAGCTTCAAAACAATCAAGGAAGCTACTTATCGATTTACGATCAGCCTGTTCTTCCTCTTCAGGTTTGTTTCTTGTGTGTGACATATATTGTAAATCCCCAAGCTTTGCCCATGCAAAACCTAAAATGGTTTAGTTTCATTGTTTTTTTTTTGTGTTTATTACAGGATCCTGTGGTGGATTCAATTAAGAATGCAGTGGACAGACTAACACATTCGACAAACTTCCTTAACTTCATGGCTCAACATGCTCTAATCATGCAAGACGAAGACCTACTAATCCCTCAAGACGAGGAAGCGGATCAAGAAGAAGGGAAATATCACTTCATGTCTCTCTTGTTAAACTTGGCCAACACATTTCTCTATATGGTCAATACATACATCATTGTTCCTACAGCAGATGATTACTCCATGAGCCTTGGAGCAGCAGCAACGGTTTGTGGTGTTGTGATCGGTGCAATGGCTGTAGCTCAGCTCTTCTCTTCGGTTTACTTCAGCGCCTGGTCCAATAAATCTTACTTCAAACCGCTTATATTCAGTAGCATTGTTCTTTTCTTTGGGAACCTGTTATATGCTTTAGCTTATGACTCCAATTCATTAGCACTTCTCTTGATTGGCCGGCTTTTCTGCGGGTAAGTATACTTTGTGTTATACATTATTTAGTTCCTAAGAGACATTAGCTTGATGATTATCATTAGCGAGAGCAGTGAAGAGACATAAGTGATTGTGTTCCATTGAACATTCGGATGCAAACCTCAGCAGGTTTTGTTAGCGCAAGTGCTTTAGGAATGGCGTGTGGTCCTGCTCTTGGCGGTTTATTGCAAACCAATTTCAAGATCTACAATCTTACCATTAACCAAGATACAGTACCCGGTTGGGTTATGACTATTGCTTGGCTTGTTTACTTAGTCTGGTTAGCTATTTTGTTTCGGGAACCAGCACGTGAACCTGAAGAGACAGAACAGGATGGTGATGCTGATCAAGATGGAAATATGGAGAAAGCTCTTCAAAATCCGCTTTTGCTTGCATCAGAAGAAACAGAACAAGATGATGAAGATGATGGTGATGGAAGTGAAGAATCTGCTGAAGATTCACGAAAACCCGCAAACTCCATTGTAGCTGCTTACAAACTACTCACTCCTTCAGTCAAGGTAAAGAAACAAAACCCATTTACTTGTCACAATTTTACTTGTTTTACGTATAACTCCCTGCATTAGTGTTTTCTTTTCATAGTTCTTACCCCATAGAAGTTAAGTCCATTGTACTTGAGATGTGGTCAAGAAATACCCATTCCAAGGGAATAAAATCTGCAGTAATTTCCAGTTCTGCACATTCCCATACTTCTAAGTTGTTTGTTGAAGAAAGTGGTCGCCTTTGGAAAAAAACTCAAGGAACGTAGCATTAAAGAATGGCAAGAGTATGTTTCTACATTCAAGATTTGGTTGATTTTGAAGTTTACGGCAATGTGATCCTCTGTAGATATTACATCAATTACAAATTAATGAAGAAGAAAGTGAAGCAATATGGTCGACAAATCGAAGTAGTAAGTCTAGATTGTCGCCATCTTCTTAAAGATTTCTCAAGGATGAGAAGTGGCATTATCAGCTAGAAGTAGCATCATCGGCTGGATGAGAAGTGGCATCATCGGCTGGATGAGAAGTGGCATCAGCGGCTGGATGAGAAGCGGCATCATCGGCTGGATGAGAAGTGGCATCATCGGCTGGATGAGAAGTTGCATCATCGGCTGGATGAGAAGTTGCATCATCGGCTGGATGAGAAGTTGCATCATCGGCTGGATGAGAAGTTGCATCAGGAGCAGAGTACCCTTTATCCATTGCTTCATTCTGCTTCTTCTTGCTAGTGTATACTCCCAGATCAGCACCATCATCATCAGAGTCTACGTCTGGTGGTAGTAGGTCATTTGGACCTCGTGGTCTCACTCTAATTCGAATGTCACCAAACTCTTCGCCTTCTCTTGGCACATCCTAAACCATCTCCAGGAGTGGCTTGTATCCAAGCCCACGGTATTTCAATTTTAGATGAGATAACGCTAAAAAAAGGTAACATTCTCAACGTTAGAAAATTGAATATATATGTAACGTGCAAAAGAGAAATCAGGTTTGAGTTCTACCTAAGTACGAAGTGAATAACCAAAGGGCTTCAGGTCTTTGAAGTGTTATCTCCCTGTGCAATTGAAACATAGAACCCCACTCAGGTCCATCTGTACAAGGACGCACATCTTCTTCACTCGGTAAGTTAGAAGAACTTCCGACTTCAAATCTGTTCGGGCTGGAAGAGCTTCCAAATTCAAATATTCCATCATCATACCAGTCCCTTTCATCCAGGTTTAGGCCTTCTGGGTTCTCCCTTTCCTGCAGGTTCTCCCTTTCAAGCAGCAGGTTTAGGTCTTCAGGATTCTCCCTTTCATGCGGGTTAAGGTCTTCTGGATTCTCCCTTTCATGCGGGTTAAGGTCTTCTGGATTCTCCCTTTCATGCAGGTTTCGGTCTTGCGCGTTCAGGTTTGGAGGCTGACAAATTATCAGAGGCTGACGGAATATCAGAGAACAAGAATCCACATCTCCTGAAAATTTGTACATGGCTCTCTTAGCTTCGGCTATGCTGCGCTTTTGCCTTTTTTTTACTCTGTAAAGCTTCTCTATTTTGACTTGTTTATTCTTGTCAATGATGGTGCGCTTGCGTTTATTGGAGACTGGGACGTTAGTTGCTGGATCTCCTCCTTCTCCTGCAAGAGCAGAGTCCCGGCCTCTGTTTTCTCCCTCAGAAACACCAGAAGCAGAGACTCTATCTCTGTTTCCCCCCTCTGATCCTCCAGCAGCAGAGACACTGTCTCCTTCATCTCGTCCAAAATCAGGTCCAAAATCAGGGATACGGTCTGCTTCCTCCTCTCGTCCTCGTACAAAATCACTCTGTCCTCTTCCAACATCTTCAAATCTTTCGTAGAAGTCACCTGTAGTTCTCGGTATGTGGTCTTGCAGAGTTAGAACATCGCTCTCTCCTCCCTGTTCTCCTCCAAGATCCTCAAATCTCTCATATGAAGCCTCTGTGATCCTGGGCATCTCGTCTTGCAGAGTGATTGTGTCAGCATCAACCTGATGGTGGTCATGGTTGTCTTCTTCAACCTCTCCTATGTGAACTTCATCTAACTGAAAAAAGGTTTTAAGGTAAGAGTTAGAAAAAGAACCTCATATTATCAGCGTACACAGACTAATTATAAAACCCACGAGAGAAAAAGAAGCTTACTGAGAACACTAGAGCCTCCAAATTGAGTTGTGAAGGCTGGATTTGAGAACTGGATGTGAGCCTTGGCTGTGAAGGCTGGAGTTGAGAACTCACATGCATAGCCTTACGAGAGAGCAAATCCAGTTGGTACTGCCACGCCAGTGCTGTACCAACTGAATTGAAAAACAAGACTGAGTTACTGCAGAAGAAACATCATTAAAATTGAACTACTTACACATTAAAAAGGCCATGACTCTGAGGTCTGCTGGTTGGAGGGGCTGTTGTTGCAAAGACAAGTCTCGAACGCCTTGACTGAAATAAGATAACAAAAGAAGACATCAAACTGTAAGTCTAAATTGTAAGTCCCAAGTGATGCTTCTTCAGCCTCTCTCTTTTCCTTGGAACCAGATTTCTCCAATGGAGATGAGGTCCCAACCCTTGCTATTCCGATACTACCACTCAACGATATGTCACCTGAAGCACCCTTGAGATTCTGTGAAGTTATTTTCTGCAAATTTTTGAAACACTGATTTAGCACAATGTGTTCCACTAGTTTTTACGGTATTCATTTACAAACTTTTGATGGCATGGAATTATTAACGATAAAAAAAACTACCACAAGTTATCAAACTTCAAAACTCTAGGCTAGTACTAGTTCTTCGTTAAATGTTTAGTCTTACAAAACACAAGATACATGACATCAAATTTCACTTTTGAGGAGAAGCTAAACAAGAGTTTGATAAGAAGGGACCATTGATCCCTGCAAATGCATAAGTTCGTCACAGATACAAGAACTAGTACTAGTCTTTGTACCTCACCCATAAACAAAAAACCATATGAAGCAGAAAACATACAGGCGCCCAAAAATTGTTAGCCTTGAACTCAAATTTCCTCCTAATTTTTGTACGCCAGAAATCTAAACACGGGATTCTTCACAACATTGCTAGATATACAATTAGTATTCCAATTCTTACCTAGAATTTGTCAACCCTGAAGATATTAATACCTCAGTTTTATCTTCTAGTGTGTAGCTTACTTATATGCAATCAGACGAAACGGAGAAAACAATATAACTATGAACATGAACCAAGTAAGTAACTACTTGTCCCCTAACTATGTTCAAAATCAAACTTTAAAAAGAATAAGCCAATCACGGGAATGTGTAAATCTGAGTACACTAACAACCAAGAATCACTTAGAAAATACAACTAACTCCAGATTAAAACGGAAAAATTAACGCAAAAGAAGGTTCTGCTCAGGAAAAAGAAAAAAAGAGATCAGATAAGAGAAGTTGTAAGACAAAATAAAACAAGCAGAGAACAGGAATCCCTTTGACTCTTATAAACGATTTAGGAATAGGAAAACCTAACATGCATGATACGGAAGATAAAACACTCACAAGATGTTACCACTTACCAATCAAAAGAAAACATTCGCTATAAATTGAGGTATGTAATATGCAACATCAGGCATTGAAGAAAAGAAACCCAAGAATTTTGTTTACTCGAGAAATCATACCTTTTAGCAGCGGAGAATTGGCCCAATGTCATGTATGTCCCATTTCCTCGGAACACTTTGGAATTCTTTTTTTTTTCCATTTTGCATATTCCCATCCTCAGCCAAAAAATTGGAACCATCAGAATTAGCCATGAGTTCGCTGGATCTCTAACAACAGCGACTATTCCATTCTTATTTTCCTTCCTTCTCCGACAATTTCTTTCTTCGAGGCGTAGTTTCGGAAGGAACAGGTGTTATTCTAATCTGGTCACTCTATTGTTCGAACTTTCTAACAACAACTTTTGGCCCATAAGGCCCACTGAATATTTTTTTTAACACTTGAACAAAAAGGAAAAGCGAAAGAAAATTACCATATTTCTGAGATATCCACCCGCTCGATCCTCCTCAGATTCCTCGGTTCTTCATGTCTCATCCGTTCGATCGATCCGAGCATAGCAATCACCCTGGAGAAAATAAAAAAATCAAACAATGGAAACCTAAGAAAAAAATCATATTATGCGTAAAGGAGCTTCGTAATAAGAAAAAACAGAGGAAACACAGAAATCAACGTCCTTAAGAAAAGGATAATCAAACCATGGGAATGTAAGAGATAATGCGAAAAAAAACCATAAAATCACCTTATTATCTATCATTCATCGAATTAAGGTAAAACAGAGGACAAGCGAACAGAAATCGCCATCGAAAAGAAGAGGATGATCATACGAACAGAAATCGCAGTCGAAAAGAAGAGGATGATCATACGAACAGAAATCGCAGTCGAAAAGAAGAGGATGATCATACCATAGATACGTAAGAGGAAAAAGAGAGAAAAAAAAAAACAGGAGTAGGGAAAAAACCAGAAAATCACTATACGATGCATCGCATTAAGAGAAAACAGAGGATAAACCAAAAAAAAACATATCATACAATCGAACCATAAGAGAGAGGGAGAGAAATCACCATAAGATTCCTAAGAGAGCTTCGTAACCTCTGAGCTGTGTTGGATATTTCGCCATTGTTCTTTTCGTCAGAGAAAATTGGAGAGAGAAGACTGAAATTTCAGAAACAAGTTGTGAGAATTTCTGAGGAGCAGGATCTTTTTAATATGGGCGTGTTCTTTTCAGGCGGTGATAAAATTGCTACAGTACACGACTGTGATCTAACAAAACTTTTTTCCTTCAACACTGTTGTCTCAGGTAATGAGGACTGGAAACTAAGAGCTTGTAATGTGGGCGGCGCGTTCTATTCAAACTCAGACGGTTAGGATTCAGGGATTTGCTAGAGTAACACGACTGTGACCTAACAAATTTTAATTCCGCTGGGCGCAACAACGTCTCACAGGGTAAGAGAAGCAGAGCTTCAAAATATGGGCGCGTTCTTTTCAGACACTGAGGAAATGCTACAGTACACAGCCGTGACCAAAACTTTGTGTTTTGTTTCGGTCCAATTTTTTTTCCTACTTACCGAACAGGCCCACAACCACTGTCTCGCAGGTTATGAGAACGTTGGAGGTTTGTTTTGCAGCTAGTCGATGTCGACGCGAAGAAGATGAAGAAAACTCCACATCATCCAGAAGGTTTCCGATTTGTGAAACGGTGAGTTTCATCAATGCAGAGCAAATTTATACAAAACGCATCGTTTAGTGCCTGTGACAAAACTAATGTCACCGGCACCATGACGTTATCAGCTCCCCAATTCTGTTACTACTTGCGCTCAACGATTTTCACACATACATCTTGGCAGTCACTTTAGAGTGAAGACACGTGTAAACCATCTGATATTTAGTTTACTATCTAGCTGTTCTAATTTGCTTAATTTTTGTTTATATTGAAATCGATTCTTTAGTCCCTAAAAGGAAAAAATAATTCAACCGCTTACCAATAAAAGAACTACAAACAAAATTAAGTATTCTTAAATGCTTGTAAATACGACAAAAAAAAATGCTTGTAAATATTCTTTTTCTTTAATAAAAATTTAGAAATTCAAAATTTCGTTGATTGACTATCTATCTACTAAACACTAAGGTAAGGTTAGCATAAACAAATAAACTTAAACCTTGAAAATAATGAATTTTGAAAAAACACCGGAATGGAATGTTGTTGTGTTCTATATGTAATACCGCGAGTTACTATTATATCCTATGCTGCCTATCTAAAACAAATAGTATAGACAAATGCATTCTTAATTATACTCATTATTACTTTTTTGAGAGATATTTTATACAAAATCCACTCTAAATATAATATATTAAACCCAAAAGCCTAAATACAAAAAATAAAATAAAATTCAAATCCTCTAAATAAACTCGAAATTTGAAATTGTCTTTAAGCTTTAGGAAATAGAAATGAATCTTATCAAAAGAATCAGAGTGGAATGATTTCATGGACTATATAGAACACTAATTTCTTAATTAAAATTTTACAATTTAACAACAAAGAAGAGAAAAGACAAAAAAAAGTGTGTTGAATATGTGATACTGCATAAGGGTATACTGGCATTAAATACATAATATATATAGAATATGATGATAAAAATTCGTTATTATGCTAAGATTTTTGGTCACTGATCGAGTGTAATTTCCCTTTGTGTTTTTAACTAAGCCCGTAAATATTTAGGGAAATACAGGAATTAATTAAAAAAAACCATAAAATGAATTCAAATAACATTATAGACTTCTAAATTCATTTTAAAATGATATAAAAAATATAAAACAGAAATGTAGCCTAATTTAGGCTAACAATTTCGATACATGCTAATGGCACAGAATAATAATAAGAAAAATTCAAACTACTGAATTCTTTATTAGATTCAAATTCAAGCATACGATGATTCAAAAAACAAAAATTATATATGTATATATATATATATATATATTACAGAAATGTAACTTAATTTCGTTTATAATTTCGATACATGTTAAATAGAATAGAATAAGAACAAAAATTCAAACTACTGAATACATCGTATGCTAATGAAAGAGTAAAGAATCGTTTGGATCGACACATTCGTCTGGTTTCCTCAGGTAACTGAAACATGATATGATATCTATTACAAAGAAAACATCAAAATATTTCGGAAGAATGGATTCGATTCGAGTCAGCCTAATTGCTTAATGTCTTTTTCTTCATCTTTGTAATAGCAGTCGGGACACCGTAACACACCGGGGCAGCCCCAGTCAAGAACTGCATAGTGCAAGCATCGCGTGCATCAGCCATGAACGACCCAACTCTCTCTGATGTATTATCATCACTCCTCTCTCTCAACCAGCTTTCCAGCATTGCCTTCCCAAACCGGTTAATATCATTCGTTACACCCCACAGGTTTGCTACAATGACTGGAGAACCGGCTAGCAGGAAAGACAGGGGAATACTTCGTGGTACGTATCTACCTCTTACATATGGCAAACCGCTGCTGCATCCCATAAGAAAAGTTGCAGCACAATTGTCCAAATACTCAACTTGGCACATGGGAATATATTGTTCTCCTGCACCATCAAATCAGCAAAATTATCTGACTAAGAAGAAGACTATTAAAAAACATTGTTATTAGTATGTAAAGGACCACCATACCAGTTCCATGTCCAAAATATATGAAAAGATCATGCTTTTCCAACGCATCAGTTAGCTCCTTAGCAGGTGGCACTAATCCAGCCCTGCCCTGTATATATAATTATTTCAATAACAACATTTCGGTTCGACTTCCAACCAACGCAGAAGATTTACATCATCAATTCGTTTTCATGTACCTCCATTTTCTTTTCCTTGAACCAACTCTCAAACTCGATTTGCGTTGATCTGAGATCACCACCCGGATTTAACAGATAATAAGCATCCCGAGGATCAATCAGAGGGAAGGGAGAACTAAAGCATCCAGCAGGAACTTCTCTGGAACAGCATTTCTTAAGCACTGCTGATATACTACCCACAGAAGGCATGCGGTAGACCTCTTGTCTTCTCAATATTGGAATATTCTCCCACGGAAGCATCTACTCATATAATTAACTAGCTAGTTAGTACAAAATTAACGAATTCTTTGAACACAAGTGTTAACCGATGATACAACATATGCCGACATCTTACAGATTAATCAAGATAATTCATCATCCCTAAACTATTGAACACATGCAGATGAGTTTCCGTAGGAACCCATGAAACCGTTATTTTTATTTTTTTCTACTGGTAAAAGCTAAGAGTATAATATAGATGCGCAAGGTTATATCTTATGTTCTATATAAAGCAACAAGCAGACTCTATTCTTTCAGCCAAACCTTCCAATGGACGTTCAGAAAAGGGAAAGAAAATGAGATTTACCACCAACCTGAATCTCATGATCCAACACAAGAATTATCGGTTCTTTCTTCTCATTATTCTCCTGCTGCCTAAGCTTGATTTCTGCCTCCCGTATCAGTTGTAATGCTAACCCATACCTACTTTGGGGATCGTTAGATGTGCTGGTAGATATTGCAAATCCATCTTCTATATCAATATGGCTAATTTGCCCTATGCAGCAACCATTCTTTTGACAAAGCTGAGATATCCATGCTTCTCCTTCAAACTCGTTTTTCCCAAGAAAAAATTTCAAAAGCGTCTCATTTACTTCCATCTTACATTTGGACCTAAGCTCCTTAACCAGAGTCTTTTGAGTGGACTCATGCAATTTTCTGTTTGACGATTCTCCCAAAAGCAGATGCCTCCAGGGACCCAACCAGAAATCTTCAAGTTTTCTATATGAACACAAGGTAACATAACGCTTTTAACAAAAAAGAAAAAGACAGTCACGGAAACATGGTGTTCATTATAATGCATTACCGGAAACATGGAAACATGCTGTTCACTTAACACAGGTAACGTACCTTAGGAATTTAGCAAGACGCAAATTGAGTTCCTCTCTCTTCTTCCACCTTAAATTTACATCTTCTACAGAAAACTCGGAACCAGTAATGAAATTCTCCTCCATTATTAGTTTAAATGCTGGGGCGACAACATCCACCACTGTAGAACCCCATGGACAAGCCCATTGTTTACCCATCTCCTCGATCCCATTTGCCTCAGTATCGTTAGGATTTGAATCATCTTCTGAACCGTCTGTTGAAACATAACCTGACTAAGATTTTGTTATCTAGTAACAATGACAGAAAGGAAACTCCCATCTGGAGTAGACATTACCTTCAAGTACTGAATCCACTGGCACAAGTACAGCTACAGGCTGATTCTTTGCGCTTAACCGTGACAAAAGCAGCCACGCACAAACAGGGGGGCTTCTCATTATTTCCTCCAACAATTTACTCAGTGTGCCTCCAAGCAAGCTAATGCAGATGACTGCTGTTTCTGACAGACTATTGAAAAAGTTCTTTGCAAACTTCACAAGATCTTCAGTCCTTTCTGGAGCAAGCCTGCAGTATCAAGTAATGGCTCAACAAAACTAAACTTTACTCCATATTTTTTTTTCTAACTTATGATACCTGAGAAAGTCGAATTCCGGAGAAGCCATGCAACTCAATCTAGAAGCCTGCAAATTAAACTGTCAGACTGGTAGTCAGTGACAACTTGTCATTTATTAAGCAAAACTAAAAAGCAAGCAAGGGATCAATATTAAGGTACAACAACCATAACCAATAAGACAGATGGTAGTAAAGTAGTTTGCTCACCACCACAAAATAAAAAAAGTTGAAAGGCTAACCATATCAGTTTTACCAACCTCTTTATCCGAGTTGCTTCCTGATTTGTATCTTCTACTAAAATTTGACAAGAATTGGCAGTTGATATGACCACCAAGAGAGGCTTGATGAAAATATGTAACCCAATGACTTACTGACAGCTCACCGTCACATGGGAATGAGAAGTCAGCACTTGAAGAAGAAAGCAAGTATAAAGCAGCAAGCAATCTTGAAATCTGTAGTGAATTTGAAGTTACAGCTAAATCAATATCACAACATACATGGAAAGATCGGCTTCTCGACAATAACCAACTTTTACCTTTTGATGAAGTATGGGAACCTCTCTGCTGAGTACAAAGGCCAACGTTAACCATGAAACCAGCTTTTGAGATGGAATATGAGATAGCTCACAGCAGAAAGACCTATTAAAAATTTAACGATCAGAAATGTTGGGTTAACTTTCAAAGGAACATAATTTATCAATTTAAGATATGACTTTTAAGATATGTTTTTGCATAAGGGAGACCACAAATTTGATAGTCGTAAAAACTATTAGTGTCGTATTAACAATATGAAAAACCTGCTCGCCCTGGAGTGGTATGTTCGCAGACTCGATTTGCATAAGTTGTATAGTAATCTTGCACGATCAACACAAAATACATCTCCTTTGATTTCTTTCCCAATAAAATTAAGCAAAAGGCAGAGAGAATGTGAGCTGGGGCTGGATCTGTCACTGTTAAATAAAATCGCGATGCTACGCAAAATTGCCACATGTGCTTGATGAACCTTTCCAGATTTAGCCAAGCATTTCCCTGAAATAAAATATTTCGAGCTATTAGAACAGCCACATATTTTAGTCTAAGATTCCCGACTGTAATGCGTGCAGGTCATGCACTCTTTGTGGAAATGGTAGAAATAGAAAGATCTGCCATACATTACACTATTGGTGATAAGTAATAACTGAGCAAAGGATAACGTAGGAAGTAGTCCAGAAGCAAAACAAAACCACAAGCCATAAAAATGAAAAAAGGACCATTTTGTTGCACCTAAAACGATTTAATGTCCAATCCCAATTCACCAAAATCTAAGCACTTAAATACATCGAATATGACAAGGGCCAAGAGCATACCAAGGTTGTCAAGAACAGTGCACGCGAGCCTCCTTTGGTGAAACTGCCATTTCAAACTTATTAAATTTTTCAGCGATCCAGGCCTTGTAACTTCATTAGAGAGACACTGCTGACATTTTCTGTCGATGCAAATGCAGATGCTACAGATTGTGTTTTCAGTACCCAGCAGCAACTCCTTTTCCTCAAAGATATCAAACGAATCAGATTCATCGCTAAAACTACGCTTCTTCAAGGTACTACCTCTATGCATATCAGCAGAAACTTTTTGACCTCGTTCTTTATGTGATCGACACATTGAGCGGGTCAACCTTATACTAGGCATAGATGTCAAATTATGCTCCTTGGTCAAGCAAGCCTGTAAAGTTATAGCACCTCGACGCCTCCTTTTCGAGTCTCTGTTATCTGTTGGTTTATCCTTTATACCGGGGTCTGGTTTTTCTGTCTGATGTCCTAGAAATTCATTGCAACTATTCCCCAATTCTCTTACCTCGGCGAATTCTTTTACGTGAAAATTAACGCAACCTTTCCAAGCGGAGCAACAGAATTTTCTCAAGGCTGCGCCAAACAGACTTTCAGCATGTGATAATCCATCTATCTGGCAAATTCTAGTTGTGTTATCATATCGTCTTTGAGACAAGTCTCCAAGTTGCTTATCCAGTGTAACCTCTAACATCGACCTGCAGTTCCGACAAGAAAAACCTCTTTGACTATCAATTAGCAGCTCTTTCACATTCTGGAGCTCCTTTGCTGCTAATTCCAGACTTTGCATTCTCTTGTAGAGATTCCCTAGTGGAATTAAAGCGTCAGAAAAGAATACAGCAATTGTCAAGTGGCTTTTATGAGCTAAGGGAATAGAAGAAACTGCAGAAAAAAAGCATACCCAAAGCAAGAGAAAATGCAACTACAAACGGCTGTAGGCTCTGCGTACATGAAATGGCTTTTCCCCAAGATAGAAAGCATTCTGCCTCAACTCCTTCCCCAATAATCTCATTGATAACGCCAACCTGCATTTATCAATAGAAATTAATAATGCAGAAATAGCGGCAGTCCAAAAAACCTGAGAAGACTTAAGCAAAAACAAGACCTGAAGAATGCTTTCCAGATAACATTGGAGCACAATCCAAGGGTTTAAGTAGCAGCGGTTGATATCCCAGAGAAAATTTCCACACGGCCAGACATCGGCAGCTCCTAAACTTGATACTTCAAATTTACTAATGATGTAACTCGGTATTCCTATTATTTTTCCTGACCTGTTATGCTTTTCAAAATGCTTCTCCGCTACATAGCTATACTTATCCTTGAAAATAAGACGCCGAATCCTATGAGCTTCCTTCGCGTAGGAGAGAGCCTGTGAAAACAAGAAAGATAAATAGATAACTAAAATTCTTGAAACTAAAAGACAAACTTTCAGAACCTATCAAGAAAAAACTACTACTAACACAAACTGGCAGCAATTCACTAGTAAGACTGTCATGAATAAACAATATCTTACCTCGTATAAGTTACCACATGACAACTGTCTTTCACAGAGATCATAATAGAGAGATGCTGCTACAAAAGACGAGTGACTGGGAAGTGGATCCTGAATGGAAAGAAATTTCACATTTTAGATATGTATATCTCCAAGAAATAATAGATAACTCTATTTTCTTACACTTGAAACTAGTTTGGAAGCTGTGTTGTTAACGTCATCTACAGTGATGTCTGGTTTGTGAGGATCTTCAGGCTTGTTTAATGTATGCAAGGTTTCGTACGGCAAACATTGCAAGCTCAGCTGGAACCCAATTGATTTTGCTTTTGAAAACTGCAAGCAACTTATCCAGAAATCTGTGGACTCTGATTTTTCACCAAAGTACTTTGATAAGCCCAGGATGACAGCATCATTTATTGGAGAAGGGCATAGAGCATGACTTAGACGTCTACAGTCCCACAGCATTGCCAAACAGACCTCCAATTTGACGTTTTTCCCTTTACAGAGTCTAAAAATCAGCTCGTATATGTGCTGTTGGAGCTCTATCCAACCCTGAAAAAGGAGGGAAATGAAGTATTAAGGACTAGAGAGACGTAAAGCACGCATAATAATATATCCTGAGAGAAATAAAATTACAAGATTTACCTTTATTGAGAGTAAATCATTCACATTACACAGTAGATGAATCGTGTTTTCCAGGGGAATACTGTCCTTACTATCACATGGGGTCTGAATCCGTAGCCAGAAATTTAGAGAGGTGTTAACATCTTGGAAAACTTGCTGCACATAAAAGTGAGATAAGAGGTAGGCAAATATGTAACATGGCAAGAAAAATATAGACATCTGAGACTAAAACAGTCACCTGAACAAAAAAAGTTGACAGAATTAAATGAAGCTAGTGTACTGAATTGGCACCTTTGAGTCTGGTTCAGTTTCCTGGATGCATAACGCTCTTAAGCAGTATGCAACGGCTAGTTGGTGGCAACATAAAGTCCCATGGTTATTTGGCTCATTTAAAATGTTGCCCTGTCTCAATGAGAAAGATGCCATTCACAAAAATTGCTTTGAGCTGTAGATAAGCTGTTTACATCAAGGTAGTAGATAAATACCGATATAAATATTGCCTCTGACAAATAATGAATACACTCCTTTAAATGTTCAGTTCCAGAAGCTCTTCTCACTCTTGCTTTCCATATTAAAATTCTTGCTCTCTCCACAGCTAAATCCTTTGTAATGAAAACCTCTTTCAGAAGAATATCAGCTATTTGTGTATGCTTAGCTCGACAGAGTTCTGAGCGCAAAGGAAGTATTTCCTCATAAGCAAGAAGCTCCTACACGCATTTATCCAATAAATATAAGTTCACAATAAGAGCTTAATAGAATTCTACTAGTACCAATTCCGCCTATATGCAAAAGAAGAACAGCAGGTGACTAGTAAACTAGAATGCATGGTACATGTCACTTCCTGCTCGGATATTATCGTACCAATTCAAAGATTGTTAGGATCTTAACCTGCTCTAAGATTTTTCTAGTCACTCTTTTCGAAATTTTCTGAGAGGATAACAGCAAGGAGTGTAAAGGTGTACAAGAGCCAGCCAGATCCCGACTCTCATGATGTCTGCGTTGTATCTGATGATAAGACGCAATCAGAAGCATTCAAATAAATTAGAAGCAGATACTTATTAGTGTCAGGGATGGAAACCTTTAAGATATGCAGAACCAACCAATTACCTTAACCCACTGTTTTATTATTGGCGTAGGGTCTGGCAACCTTTTGATGAGATCTTCAGCGGCAGACCAATTTTCTAGAATAAACACAAGCAGCTTCTCGGTTTCTCGTGCACCATGTTGCTGGAGAACATCCATATAAAATGCAGATTTGCTACATGCTTCACTCACAAAACCAATAATTGCTTCTCCGGACAGACAATCCTCAGATGGGTTAGCCTCATTTACATATATCTGACAGAGGAGTCTAACACACGTCCATACTGTTCTAATACATAATTTGAACGCCATGGAAGCCTGAAAAGTACACACCATCAATGCGATTAAAAAAAAAAAAAAACTAGGCAGCAAAATCTTCTAAAGACAATCTGCATGGAAGGATTAAGCTAGGCGAACAAAACTAAAGGTCAAAGGACATGAAAAATCTTTTAGCATCAGGTATGCTACCTTTTTTAGGTGCTTAATACTGTACAAACCTACACCGATATCGTGAAATGAAGCATATAGATATTTCAGCTCCGGAGGTGAAATCCACGGACTAGTAATTACATCCTCAACTAGACGATTAGTGATCTGAAAAAAGGAAACATTGAGGCAATTAGTTTGCCAAGCATGGAAATGTTGTAAAAAGAAGAGTTTGAACAAAACTTCCAACTGATTTGTGAGAATTGCATGTAAGCATTTAACCTCTACTTTACGTTGGGTTCTCATCGAAATAATAAAAGCAGCCATAGCCACGTTTAGTAGAGTCTTGTCAAAGTCAGTCCCACTACATTCCTTGTCAGGGGTCCATCTCGCAAAAGGGAAAAGAAAGGTAAGCAAAACATTCAACCCAGAATACATTATTCGACCAAATAATCATATATTTGCATGTTACTGGATGCATAAGAAATTAGATGCCGTCCCCGACTCTCAATAATATGGCAACCGCTTAGATATTAAATGATGGAACAAGTATCAGTTCTAAGGCAACTGGCAGTTTACTTGCTTTCACACTCAAAGCAAGCCACAATACTTTATAATATTTTTGCCGCATAGAAACAACCGAGTTTGATTAGATGCAGGCATAAAATAGACCCCAGCCTACAGAAGATAGTACAAGAAGGGGGAAAAAAACCTTACCTCTGAAGGAAGCGTAAACCATGGAAAAATTGGAGAAACATATCCTGTATAACAGATAGATGAGCAGTATAACATGCAAATTCTCTTTCCGGCACCATCTTTCTGTCCTCAAAATTTATCAAGCTGGCAAGCGGCTGGCACAAAAGTTTCAGAGCATCAAGGTAAGGTAGCGTGTATTCCATACACATCGTGCCTTTGTGTTTACAGCTAACATTAGTTTGTCCTTCAGAATTCTTATTTCCATCATTCGATGTGGCCTCATTATCTGAGTATTGGTCAATCATACCCAATAAAGAAACTAAACTTTTCCATACATCCTCGTCACCAAGTAAAGCTTGAAGTCCCCAACTTTCCATGGTTTCGTTACCATTTTCTCTGAACTTAACATCAAACACATTGACAGATAGTCCAGCTGAATAAAGTCTTAGAATCACATTAGCTTGTGGTATAGCCTGCCAAGCACTCAAATATCAATATGCTATTGTCATTAACCATATGAGACAGAAGCAGATCCCAAGGAGACAAAAGATACCTCAGAGAAAATAGCTGCTATCTCACTCAACTGTTTCGAAACTCCTGCACACCATACGTCTCCTGCTAACTGAGACTTGCGAACACAATAGGAGACTAAGTCAACAAGCTCCAACCAATTTTGTTTAGGTTCAACCTGAGAGAGAATAAGAAAGAGCGCAAAAGTGCGATATGAGAATTTCTACATAGCAGAACAGTTACTTAGACGCTAGAGCCACCATGAACTCAAAGAGCAGTCAGTGCCACAAGAAATAAAATAAAAAGACATAATGGCCGACCAGTGCTAGAAACATCTCATGACTGATTAATCTGGACACGAGACTTTTGCACATACCTGGAATTCACATGCCACAGTTCGCAACACAGACCTTACAATTTCAACGGTTGGTGATGTTTTTGTCTCATTACACAGAAACAGTAAAGAAAGCACCTGGCGGGAGAACTGGATACAAAACGGAACAATTAATGCACGAGAGAGAGACTAGCAGGGAGATGTGAAATTGGACAAGTCACCTTATAAAAATGACATTTTGGCAACGGGGACGCAGAATATTCCTCCAGTGTAGAGATGCAGAACGAATGCACAAAATCCTCATCGAAACGCTCTGCTTCTTTAATTATCGAGAGAGCACACTTTCCCAAATCTGACAAGAGCAGCGTGACAAACTTGTCCTGTGAATTGGCATCCAAATACCTGCAATTAAAAAACCCCAAAAAAAAAAGTGAAAAATTGTTGATACAGCAATGGAAGCATAACTCTCACGGGTTACCTGAGCCAGGGTTTTATCTCACGTGGAAGCGAAGAAACCCTCCAGTATTGGCGTTCGTCCATATCCCGCGACATTGCTACAGACCTGACGATGGACGCCACAACCTCGAGGAAGACTTTTGCCCGCTTTGCTCTTTCAAATTCTGGATTTTGCAGAAACTGTACACATCTGGACTCGGGTCCTCTAAGCTGCTCCAGGACTCTAAAACCATCGTTGTAGGCGTGAGTGAACCAACCCCAGGTCTGGTAACAGTGAATCAGTCCGATCCTCTGAAGCTGGACGGCGTGAGGATCGTGGGAGACCAATTCCCAGCATTCCAAACAGAAATCATACGCGCGGAACAAATCCCCAGGGGATTCGTGAGCAGGGCCAGTCACTGAGAGGCGTTTCTGCAGGAAGGAGACGGATTTGGTGAGAAAGGGGACGAATTGTTTCGCGATGGATCGAACGGCGATGGTTCGGTCCTCTTCCCGGCATGTTAATAGGCCTGAGAACGGTCGGAGGTATGCTGAGACGGAGGATAAAACTTCTCCGGCGTCGGAGGAGGACTCGATTAGAGATAAAATATGAACCTCAATGTCCGAAGCCATTTTTGAAATTATTCCAAGTTCTCTAGGGTTCCCGCTAGTTGGGAGCATAATAATACTCCACACACAAAAAAAAAAAAAGTATTTTTACTAAGGAAAATTGCAGTTAATAACAAATTAAATTTTAATATTTAAATAAATAACCATATAAAAAAAATGGTTACTATATTTTATGTATTATATACAATATATATAACTATACCCTTTAACTTCCCACTTTCAGAATATAATATATTAATTTTAATTTAATTGTTGATTTTAACTCATCCACGTAAATCAGTTGTTAAAAACAAAAACAAAAACAAAAACAAAAAGGTTGGAAGAAGAACTTTTAAACTCACGATAAAACTTTTTCTTTCAATTCTGGGTTTGAATTTGGGTTTGTATTCCTCGATGACATCATCAATTTTGGGTTTGGGTTTGTATTTTTCGACAACATCATCAATTCTAAGTTTGGATTTGGATTTCTTGAATTCTGGATTTGGGTTTATATCATGATTTCGATTTCGATTATGGGTTTGGGTTTTTTTGTTGGTTCTTGTCGAGATCATCGCAGAAAGACATAGAATGAAATTGTTGATTCCGGGTTATGGGTTCTGCGATTGGAAACTGAAATCATCGAAAATTAAAATTTTGGATTTCAGATTAAATGAAATTAAAAGTTCTATTTTAGAGTTTTTACTAAATAGAATGGTTATATGTAGTTTACATAGAATGCCTATATGTGAATCATTCTTAGATCTGTCTGTGTTTTTTATGTATACATACATGAATGGGTTTTTTAATGATAGAATTTTCTATAGATTGTCTATATATATGTACATATAACTTTTGTATTACTCTTTGAATGTATATTTTTATTGTATCTAATAGTTATTCTTATTTTTTTACAGTGTTGCGATAATAGATTTAGATTTGCCGGAAAGAATGTTCATGGCAGATGTAGTTTACATAGATTGTCTATACTAACACAGATTAGTAGTAGATAACGCGTGTGTGTGACGCATCTAGAAATACATTCTCTCTCCTGTTTGTTTTTTACCGCTCTTATCCACAAGGTTATTTTCGTCTCAAAATCATGCACATTGTTACTTGCTTTATTTTGTGATCTTCATGGCTATTTTCTTCATCACTTCATGAAATTTTGGTTATTCACTTAATTGTCCATTTTACTAATACTATCAATAACCAAATTTTTTACATAATTAAAAGGAAATAAGCAAAAAAAAAATATATATATATATAGCAAATTGAATCATGTTTTAATATTTAAACCAATGAGAGAGAGAAGTCGAATTTTTTAGGCAATTTTACGATTTCTCCTTGTAAACAAAAAGAACGGTTTCGACTTTTTTTTTGTTATCGTGGAGCAGCGGTTTTTTTTCACGACTGAAAGTAAAAAAAAAAGAAACTTGAAAAATAAAGAAAGACAAACTTTTATCAACTCATCAATACTGTACTTGTTTTACAGAGTTTTCATAGACCTCTTTATATAAAGAATGGGGATACACACAAAACCTAGAGAAGAAAACGACAAGGTCATTAAAACATCATTCACACAACCTTAGTGTGTTGAAACGATTGTGTAGCAGGAGTGTATTGGCTAGTATTTCCGTACATTTGACTACTTTTGATACCGTTGCAGGACTCTGTTTGAAGAAGATGAGCTGGAGTGGGCCTTGTGTGGGCTTCATCCGCAGTATTCAGCCCATTCTTTGAAAACTCTGATGAGGCCAGAAGTTTTTCTGTATGACTTATACACCCCCCTCAAACTTGGAGTTGGTGGGAGATAAACACCGAGTTTGAACCTCAAGTCTAGGAAAGGCTGGTGAGCCAAGGACTTGGTAAAAACATCAGCAAGCTGTTGGTGACTTGGGACATGTTTCACAGCAACAACTCCATGTGCCACACGCTCACGAACATAGTGAAAATCAACATCAAAGTGTTTGGAGCGTGAGATACACTGCAGACAAATTGTCGCAATACAACTCTGGTAGTGACGACTGAGGATGACCAATAACATCAAGAAGAGAACTTATCCACTTTAGTTCACTAGCAGCTATAGACATTGTCCTGTACTCACCTATTGTACTCGAACGAGAGATTATAGGATGTCTTTTAGCAGACCATGAAATAATATTCGAACCAAGGAAAGTACACAAACCACCCATAGAGCGTCTTGTTTCTTACAATTAGCCCAATCACTATCACTGTATGCACGAAGTGTAGAGTCTGTATCCGAACTCAAGTTGATATCAATTTGAAAAGTACCTTTCAAGTAACACAATATACGTTTTAGTAGACTAAAATCAGCCTCAGTTAGTTTGTACATCTTCTGACAGACAAGATTAACTGCAAACTGAATATCTGGACGTGTAAGAGTCAGATACTGTAGTTTTACAGCTAAACTCCAAAAATAGGTGGGATCCGAGAAGATTTTGTCCTGACCAGAAACTTTATCGAGTTGAAGAGGCAGTGAGATTGGCATTGGGGCACAATCTGACATCCCTGCCGTGACAAGAAGATCAAGAGTGTATTTTTCTTGACTTAAGAACAATCCTTCATCATGGAAATGAGCTTGTATTCCCAGGAAATAGTGCAGAGTCCCCATATCTTTCATCCCGAACTCCTTGTTCAATGTGACCAACAAATTTTGCAGCACTTCATCATTGTTTCCTGTTAACACCATGTCATCGACATAATAACATCAACAAAACATCTGAACCTTTAATATAGACAAAGAGTGAAGGATCAAGAATACAGCAAACAAACCAAAACTCGATGAGAAATGTGCTGAACTTATCAAACCAAGCACGAGGGTCCTGTTTTAACCCATAAATTGCCTTTTTGAGTCTACAAACGTAATCTGGTTTATCTGGATCTTCAAAACAAGGAGGCTGTCTCATGTAGACAACTTCTTTCAAGTCTCCATGTTGAAATGCGTTCTGTACATCAAGTTGTTTTATAGACCATTTCTGAGTAACAGCAACATGTAGCACTGATCTTACTATAGCTGTCCTGACAACTGGACTAAAAGTTTCTAGAAAATCCACTCCTTCCTACTGATCATAGCCCTTGGCAACTAGCCGAGACTTTAGCTTGTCAAGACTCCCATCTGCTTTGAGTTTCGTCTTGTATACCCATCTGCAACCCAAGATGTTCTCAGAAACCTCTAGAGGAACAAGATCACATGTATTTGTTTCCTATAGAGTACCGTGTTCAACTCCCATAGCAGCAGTCCAAAGAGGATCCTTAATAGCAGACTTAACTGTTTTTGGGTTCTGGATAATTTGTCTTGACAGTAAACAAAACATACCGTGTATATGTTTTGAAAATCGCATCTTTTGCTCTAGTAACCATCGAGTGAGCATTCTCCATAAGAGGATTTTGACACAGTTTGTGTCAACACATCAGAAGAATTAGAACATGGTGAATCAAGAACTAGTGGTGAGACTAAGGGAGACGGTATACTGTGAGAACTTTGTGTATTTGTTGAAGAATCAGACCTTCCAGATGCAGGAGAATAGCTGTTGCCAATAAGATCGGGATCTAAGCTCGCTGTACACACAGAACTATCTCCTGCAGTAGAAGAGGTCATGACCGGAAGAGGTAATACATTAGCATCAGCACTTGCAGGAGAAACAATTGGAACCACAGACACACGATTTATATAGGACTTACATTTGAGTCTTTAGAAGTAGAAGAAACTCCCCAAGAGGAGAGGCCTGTAGAAGATGTAGATTGAAAGGTACAGTACTTGTCTTCGAAGGGAAAGACAGATTCATCAAATAGTACATGTCGACTAATGAATACTCTTCCTGTATGTGGATAGAGACACCTGTACCCGTTATACTTCTCATTATAACCAAGAAACACACAATGCAGAGACTTTGGATCAAACTTATGCTTTGCATAAGGCTTGAGATAAGGGTAACAGGAGCATCCAAAGACTCTGAGTGAGGAGTAAACTGGAGGCTTACCATATAATTTTACAAAAAGGACTCTTCTTATCAGAGAGAACTGACGAGGGAAGAAGATTGCTCAGAAAACACGCGGTGAAGAATGCTTTTACCCATAAGTATCGTGGGACCTTTTTCTGAAATAACATAGACAATCCCAACTCGGTGATGTGTCTGTGTTTTCTTTCTGCTAAGCTGTTTTGCTGAGGCGTGTGAGGGCAAGAAAGAAGATGCTTAATACCACAATGTTGAAAATGAGTAAGAAACTTAGTGCTCGTGAACTCACCCCCTCCATCACTCTGAAAAACCTGAATCTTGTGTTGCAGTTGTCGTTCAACAAAGGTTTGAAAGGTAATGAACACAGAGTAGAAGTCAGACTTTCTTTTGAGAAGATAGAACCATTTAAAGCGGGAGTAGTTATCAATAAATATTGCATAATATTGAAAACCTTGGTTCGAAATTACAGGAGAAGGTCCCCATAAATCACTGTGAATACGCTCTAAAGGACGAAAGGCTACAAAGTCTGAAGGAACAAAAGAAAGTCTAGTGAATTTTACCAACTGGCATGCCTCACACAAATGAGAGTTAGCCTTATTCATAACTAGTAGATTACTACTTGCAAGATACTGAAGAAGCTCCTTATTAGGATGCCCAAGCCGCTGATACCACACTTCAACACTTGTGCTTTGTTGTCTTAGTGAACAGAAAGCTATAAACTTTGGGTTCTTCAGTACATACAAGTTGTTGTGTCTACTGCCTTGAACTAGCATCTGCCTTGTTCTCTTGTCTTTTACCACTACAGAATCACATTCAATGATGAACTCACAGGGATAATCGGATGTTAACTTAGACATAGACAAAATGACTTAGCAATACCAAGACAGATAAGAACATCTTTAAGAGGAATAGTACCTTGAGAAATCGACAGAGCAGTGGATCCAATGTGAGTGATTGGAAGAAAGTCCCCATTACCAACCATCATTGAATCATCACATGAGTATGGCTGAGCCTGATTTAACAGAGAGACTGAGCTGGTGACATGTG